TTGATGTCTGGACTGGATCCTGGTGTGTTTAGAGGCTGTAATGAGAGGAGCATTGTATAGTTTACTTTGAAACAAACTGTTGGTAAGAATATTGGAGCAGCTTTAACATAAGCCTAAAACAGTGCAGCACTTCCTGTGGAATGCCTGTGGAAAAAAAAACAAAAAAAACAGACCAATGCACATTACTTGGAAAGCAATAAAGAAAGTTTACAGCAATAGGTTTGTACAATAAGTGCTCAAAATTCATACACTGAACATGAGCTGCTGCTAGAGCCAGCTCATGCTTTGTCTTAATGCACTGGGTCCTCTTTTATATGTAGAATACAAATTACATATCACTGGATAACAGCACAGTGGACTACATTTACTGGAAGCCAATGTATTTTTGTCTTAAAACTCATGGCAGAGAACAGAAGCGCATCCTACACATCAGTTGGCAATTTTCAAAGTAGCAATAGGTTTAAGCAACCTGGGACTTGTCTGGCTTAAATTTTCACTAAGGAGACAAGCTTAGCAGAAAGATACAGATTTTTTTTTATTTCCTCCAAAATATGGTCCCTCCTGAAGGATACAGTGGTTTTCAAAAATCTAACCAGGTCGTTTTTAAAATTGAAGTGGCTTTTTGTAAAAATGTATCAGACTATTGTTGAATTGGGTATGTAATATTAAGCCTCAAGATTTATTTATATGTATCTTTTAAAAATAAATTTCTTTGCAAGACCTCCAATAAATCATTTAAAAATCAATCAAAACAAATGTCATTTAAAGCCGACACACCTTCAGGAATACTTTATACTCCTTTAAGTAGTGAAACTTTTTCCATTTAGAAGGAAGCTTCAATTTTGCCCCAAAGGGAAACAGGAATCTTCTTCCTCAAACCCATTTGTCCTGAAGTACTCCACATCCTAGACTGAGAATCTAAATTAGCATCCACTCCTCGTTGCATCACTAGTCACCATCCTTGCACCTATAAAGGGGTCTGCAATCTCCCTTCAAAGCCCATCCATTGCACTCCTGGGGAGCAAAATGTATTCACTAGAGTGCTACCAGTAGACTGAACCAAGATTAAGATTGGTAGTTTGCCCTCACCAAATAGTTACATTCAGGATCAGATTTATCCTAGGAGTATAACCTATTATCTCCCACAAGAAAGATCTGCCTACTTATTTGTATGATCCCCATCACCACAGTGTGGGAGGGGATAGAACCAAATTCCTTTCCAGAACAAATGAAAAAGGGTACCATGTTTAGAAGTGTCACATGGAAGACTGGAGCACTCAATACTAGTTTACTACAACTCAGCACAAGCTTTCAGACTAAGAGCCCCTCAATGCCAACTGGCAGAGGGCCCACCATACTATAACTATCACACATTCCCCCAATACACTGTTATCGTAATTTCTATCTAAAAAGTGTCACATTAGATATCATAACTGGTGACACATGTGGTCCTGAAAATCATTTTGTGATGTATATACAGGTTGTGCACAAAGAGTTGTGTGTGTGCTGGAAATATGTTCTTAAAATGTGTTTGGGAGGCAGTGCATAAACCCACCTGCCCTAAACAAAGGAATGTGTATTTAGCTGTCTGACTGTCTTGATTACTGGCAGAGGACAATGAAAATATATTTATATATACCATAAACAAAGCTATCAAGCAGCAGTTTAGTGAGCACACCAGGGGGCAGAGTCTGCACCCCAGGAATCCTTCCTGGCTCGAGACAGAGACAATGGATTTTAGGTAATATAAGGGGAACAAAGGGAACAGCACCCTTTGATTCTGCGTAGGTGGATCCCCGGGCCTGGAGATGCTGGTAACTTGGTGTAAGGAAACTGCTTATGCAAAGATTACAATGTGCGAAGATTAGTCACTAGAAAGTGGGATTTATTTTGTTTTGTCTGTAACCATACCTGCCTCTCTCATTTAGTATCACAAATATCCCGTCTTTGTAAATAAACTTATTCTTGTTTTATTACAGAGCCATCTCAGGGCAGTATATGGAAGTCAAGCATGAGTCTTCAGCTATCCTAACAGGATGCTGTGTGCTCTGTCTCTTTGGAGACAGCAAACCTAACAATTTCTGAGTGTCCACTGAGGGGGACTGGACACTGCAGGGAGATCTCTGATGAACTTGAGAACTGGGATACCCTGATTGTTACCTCTACAACCCCCCTACTAGTTCTCCCCCCCACCCCACCCCGGTCAAACCAACAAAGACGAAGAACATGCCAAGAACCAAGAATATACCAACATGTCATCTGAAGATTCAAGTGGTGTATCTACAGGGGCGGCTCTATGTATTTTGCCGCCCCAAGCACGGCAGTCAGGCGGCTTTCGGCGGCATGCCTGCGGGAGGTCCGCCAGTCCTGCGGTTTTGGCATACTCGCCGCCGAATTACCGCGGGACCGGCGGACCTCCTGCAGGCGCGCCGCTGAAGGCTCCCTGACTGCCGCCCCCACAGCGACCGGCTTGCCGCCCCAGGCACGCGCTTGGTGCGCTGGTGCCGCCCCTGTGTATCTACATCTCAACAGCCCAACGCACGAATACAGCTACCTACTGAAGAAATAGGTCTCCAAAACCTAAAGGCAGTTCCTGATGTTTGTTGGTCAAACTTTTTCCATTCATTTATGTTAGAAAAGAGGACTACTGGTGCACCTCTTGGAAAAAAGCTTACAAAGCAGGAAAGCTTCTCACTGCTTCAATTGGTACAACTAGAGGAGCTTGGTTTGCCAGATGGATCAGCAAAGCCAGTGCTGACAAACTATGTGAAAATGCTGCAAAACACCAAGCCTCTGGACTGCAGCAATATGCAGCAAGTCTTATAAGCCAGTCACTGTCAAAGCCAATTTTAGAAGTACTTAATGAGGCTGTTAAGAATGCTAGACTCAACATAGTTTACACGAACAAACATGGCTGTTGCATCATACTTTCACTTAAGCAAGAGATGCCTCACACTACAAACAGGAGGCCAAAGTTAAGTGCATTGTCACTGGTTAACCCTGAAGTTGGACACTGGTTCCGAACAAGACCAGCAAATGCTCACTATCTTTCTGCAAGAAACTCAACTGACTGGTTAGAAGCATGCAGTGCAACAGTGAAAGACTCAACAGTTGAAACTGTAAAGAACTCTCTCACCACATTCAAAAAAATCTGCATACATGGCTGCTGAATGCCCCGATGCAAATGGGCATCAAGTATTAAGTCACTGCATACGTTATCTTGATGTCAGTGGTAGGCCAGGAGATGCATTTCTAGATGTTCAGGTTACAGTAGACACATCGGCTGCATCTGTGACAACCCCCATCTTAGAATTAAATGCTTGTAAACTGGACCCCAAACAGAAGGCACAAGCATTTGATGGAGCTTCAAACTTCTCTGAAAGACATGGTGGGATACAAGCTTTGCTCAGAGAAAAGTGTAAACCTAATCTCTCCTATACACACTGGAGAGTCCATTTTAATTTCAGTACCTGGAAAGATAAGCAATCAATTTGCAAACACCTAGAAGATAATAAGGTGATAAGAATAAATCGTGTCAAACCAACCTAGTAGCTTTCTTTGACAGGGTAACAAGCCTTGTGGGTAGCAGGGGGAGGCGGTAGAGGTGGTATATTTTGACTTTAGTAAGGCTTTTGATACTGTCTCGCATGACCTTCTCCTAAACCAGGGGTGGGCAAACTTTTTGGCCCGAGGGCCAAATCGGGGTTGCGCAACTGTATGGAGGGCCAGGTAGGGAAGGCTGTGCCTCCCCAAATGGCCTGGCCCCCACCCACTATCCCTCCCCCTCAGAATCCCCAACCCATCCAACAGCCCCTGCTCCTTGTCCCCTGACCGCCCGGGACACCCGCCCCCATCCAACCCCTCTGCTCCCTGTCCCCGACTGTCCCGACCCCTATCCACACCCCCACCCCTGGACAGCCCCCCCAGGACTCCCACCCCCATCTACCCGCCCTATGCTCCTCGTCCCCTGACCACTCCCCGGAACCCTCTGCCCCTAACTGGCCCCCGGGATCCCACCCCCTTATCCAACGCCCCCCCTGCTCCCTCTTCCCCGACTGCCCTCCCAACCCCTAGCCACATCCCCGCCCCCGGGACTCCCGCTCCCAACCCTCCCTGTTCCCCATCCCCTGACTGCCCCCTCCTCCCTGACTGCTCCCCAAGATCCCCCCGCTCCCCGTCCCCTTACCAGCAGCAGGAGCTCGCAGCCGTGACACCCAGCCAGAGCCAGCTGCGCTCCCCAGTGGGAGCGGCGGGCTGGAGCGCAGCCCACGTGGCTGTGGGGAAGGGGGGACAGCGGGGGAGGGGCCGGGGACTAGGCTCTCCGGCCGGGAGCTCAGGGGCCGGGCAGGACGGTCCCGCGGGCCGGATGTGGCCCCCGGGCCATAGTTTGCCCATGTCTGTCCTAAACCAGCTAGGGAAATACAACCTAGAGGGAGCCACGATGCGGCGAGTGCATAACTGGTTGGAAAACCATTCCCAGAGAGTAGTTATCAGTGGTTCACAGACAAGCTGGAAGGGCATATTGAATGGGTCCTGAAGGGCTTCGTCCTGTATCCAGTTCTGTTCATTAGCTTCATCAATGATTTAGATAATGGCACAGAGAGTACACTTATAAAGTTTGTGGACAATATCAAACTGGGAGGGGTTGCAAGTGCTTTGGAGGATAGGATTAAAATTCAAAATGATCTGGACAAACTGGAGAAATAGTCTGAAGTACCATATATACTCGATCATAAGCCGGTTCATTTATAAGCTGACCGCCCGCCCCACAAGATGGATAAGTTTTTATGGAAAATTTTTATAACCCATTCATAAGCCGACCCTATAATTCAGGGGTCAGCAAATAGGCTCCCA